TTTTAAAATCAATAAATCCGAGGGTGTGACCTAGGTGACGATAGTTAATAATACTGTATTGCATATTTGAAAGTTGCTAGGTGAGTGGTCTTAAAAGTCCTCATCATAAGAAAATAATGTTTCATAACTATATATGGCAATGGATGTTAAGTAGAATTATTGCAGTGATCACTTCACAATATATTAGCAGATGAACATCAACTCATTATCTTGTACACCTGAAAACAATATAATATATATCAATTATAGCTCAGTTAGAAAAATAAAGTTTTTTTTTTGTTGTACGTGGTATAATTTCTTTCTAACAAGTCTTAAATCTAAATAAAAATATAATAATTAAATCAGAAATTGTTTGAAATTCTATACTGTGAGGAAGGCAATATTCTCTTCTTGCCCTCATCCTGCCAGATATTGCCAATGTGAATACATGCTCACTACTGACAAGCTCATTCAAAATGTACATGAGATGAGGGAGTTCTCTCCTTCTTTGTTTTAGAAACATAGAGCTATGACCTACACCCATGTGCATTCTTTCTCACATGTCAGCAAAGCCTGGGGTGTCCTCAGAGAAGTGGATCTGATCCAATGTCTTGAGACGCTCTGCAGTGTTGCTGCTGCAGATGCTTTCCAGTGTGTTAGTGGGCTCCAGCTGAGAGGGCCTTCCCTTTGCTCCCAGCTTGCTTTTGCACAACAAAAAACCTTTAATAAGCATTCTTGAACAAACACATGTAATGCTCATTCTTGGGCAAATATTATTTCTACCACTTGAGGTTACTTCTATGCAATTTTTTTAATTAAAAGAATTACTATTTTGATTTTACTTTCAAAAGAAAAAAACCGCCACCATATTATTGCCCCCAAACGATACAGAAATCATTCCAGATGTTTCACATAAAATCATTTTAATGAAAAGACCATTTATGTGGTGTATTACTTTCTTTGATCTACTGTAACAATTACTACAGATTGAGTGGCTTTTAACACAACAAAATTAGGTCTCTCACAGTTCAGAATTCAGAGTCCCAAATCACGGTGGTGGCAGGTTCTCACTCCCTCCGAAGGCTTTAAGGAAGAATCTTTCTTGTTTCTTCCAGTGTTTGTTGGCTCCTGATCTTCTTGTCTGTATGGGTCTTCGGTGCATCCCTCCAATCTCTGCCTCAATCTCCACATGGTGTTCTCCGTGTCTCTATCGTTTTCTAAATCTCTATGCCTTTCTGTCTCATAAGGACACTGGTCATGGGATTTAGTGTCCACCTTAAGTCAGGATGATCTTATTTCCTTAATTTGATGCAACTGCAAAGGTCTTTATTTTTCCAAATAAGGCCACATTTTCAAGTTCTAGATATATATGGTCCTATTCGACCCAATACACATTGATATGGTTAGTTTAGAGTAAAATTTCAGATACTTCTAATACTAAGTAGATATCACTGAAGCAAAACTCGAAGTGGTAAGGGGAGGGATGATATTATCAGAATCAGTTAGTGCTGGCATAATAGAGGTGACACCCTCAGGATTGTAATCTTAAAGCACCATGGAGAGTGACAGGAGATAGAAACAAGGAAAATACACAAACAAACAAACAAACAAACAGAAAACACACACACACTAGGATTCCCCTGCTTCACCATCTCAGCTGCTGCTGGTTTCCCTTGTTGGGCAAATATAAACACAATGCAGTAGAGGTCAGTAAATATATCTGAAGAAATGGGGAGGTTAAAGAAAATTTATCAGGGAACATGACTCTAATCTCTGGTTATATAGCACTTGATATACAAGTATCATTGTGTTGCTCAGTCATCTCTTTCCTCACTAGTTCCTAGTGGCAGGATGAATCTTCAAATTAGATTGTTACAATTGAGATAATTTGTGCTGTGATTATACAGAAGCCCTTTACTTAACTATATGAAACTAAGGCTCCTTAACATCATGTGAGGTTGCTATGATGATATTAATGATCATTACTTAAAAATGGGTGGAGGAGCAAAGGGGAGAAATGCAGGAACATCTGTAATACGCTCAACAATAAAAACAAATGTTTAAGAAAGTGCAGAAATATCTGAAAACAACATAAGAATGAAGCTAGATTTTTTCCTGTTGTATCTACATGATAAATGAATAAGCAAACCTGTTAGCAAGTTCAAGTCTTTGAGTCATCGTAAGAACTTAGTTGCTAGATTTTTCAGTGCCATCGCGATGTCTTTGTTCCTCAGAGTATATATAATGGGGTTCAATGTTGGGATCAAAATGGTGTAAAAAAGGGAGATCAGTTTCGAAGTTCCTTCAGATTGATTTGATTTGGGCTGTAAGTAAGCGATAGTACCCGTTCCATAGAATAAGACTACAACAATCAGGTGAGATGAACAGGTGGAGAAGGCTTTCGCTCTCCCTCTGGCTGAAGTCAATTTCAGAATGCTGGAAATAATTTTGGCATAGGAGACAACAATCAACAGAAATGGAACCATGATAAATACCACTGCAACTACATAGACCGCTATCTCGTTCACAAATGTGTCCTTACAAGCTATCCTGAGTAGTGGCGGGATGTCACAGAAGAAATGGTTAATTGTGTTAGACCCACAAAAGGGCAGAGATAAAACCTGGCATGTTTGGCCCACCATGACTGGCACTCCACTGACCCAGGAGGCAGTCACCAGCTGGACACAGACCTTGTGGTTCATGACTAGAGGGTAGTGCAGAGGGTTACAAATGGCCACATAGCGGTCATAGGCCATCACGGTCAGGAGGAGACACTCTGAGCCTCCGAGTATATAAACAAAACACATCTGTGTAGCACAATCAAGCAAAGAAATGAGATTTCTAGAAAGGAAAAATTGCTGAGGAAAAAATACATGGGGGTCTGGAGAGCAGGGTCAGTTTTTGTTATCAGTATTATGATGCTATTGCTGATGAAGATAGTCAGATAGATGACTAAAAATATCCCAAAAAGAATCCATTGGATATTGGGAATGTCAGAAAACCCCAAAAGAACAAATTCCATCATTGCAGTGAAATTTGAATTTCCTGTTTTTAATCTGTTCTCCATCTGCAAATACGGTAAATTCAAGATGGTTAATTCATTGATATTCTTGAACCACATCTCCCTGTTTTTTTAATTGGGTTAAATGCATGAGAGTATTTCTAAAATCTCTAAAATTACTTCCATCATTTCTTTGCTCTATTTCTAGGAAATGGTATTTGAAACTTCAGAAATGAACTGATATGCAGCTAAAATAAATCCAAGAAATAAAATCCTAAAGTATTTTTACTAAGAGAAAAGATATCAAAGGAAATGAGAAGTGTGCATTGTTATTTAGAGCTTATTGTGTAATATTTATATCTAATCATTGCACCACTTTTAAGAGTGTAGTGATGGTGCAGGCTTTTACTATTCTATATATATATATTTTATTGTCTACAGTTTTACATATGTCTCCTTTTCCCCAATTGACACCCAAACCCCACAGTGATGAAGGCTTTTTCTATTGTTTTTGTTTGGATTCATCATTTTTATTCTGTATTGATTGACCTATTCCATCTTGTTTCAATGTAAAGCTTTTCTCTTACAGTTTTTCTTTATTCTTATTCAAAGTGAGCTTTAAGTCTTCCCAATTATATAATCAATGAGAATCAACTTTCTTAAAACAAACCTTTTAAAGTTTGGGAATAATATATTTAATATTAATATTCTACTTTATGTACCACACCTATCACTTAGGCTAAGTACAAAAACAATTCTATCATCCTGTTAAATAACTTTCCCTATTAACATCTCATATACAGTGTATGCAATTTATGATAAATATAAATAAATAAACGTTTAACTCAGTCAAGAAATATGGCTCATTCACCCCTAATTGTAACCAAATGCAATTCCCTTTTTCTCTTTTCCCTTCATAATTTTTTCTAATAAAATATAACTTTTATGAAACCCAATTATATGTTCTGGACATGCAAATAGCTGGAATAGTGAATGAAACTAAACACACACACACACACATACACACAATCTTGCTTTAGTTTATTTTAAAGTCCTTCAGGATCAGACAGTCAACACAGTCTGACAATTTCTGTTACACTTTATTAATATTTTATTTGTAACTTTCCAAAACAAATATTATGTTCTCCTATCTCATCAAATCTACTACACCTATTGCCACCTTCTAGCCCCATCAGCTGTTTTTGCCTTAATACTTTGATAAACAAAACTGATAAGATTATTTCTATTTAACATATTTCTAATATTACTATATATTAAGAAAGTTAAGAACTGCATGATTTATCCTAAGTAATTATTCATTTTTAGATTAAGATCCTAGAATTTAAGTGCTTTCCTGTTTTATTTTTGTATGTGATCCTCAAGTTTATAACTATCTTTAAATTAAATAAGTTTGAAACACATTTACCACTTACCTTTATGGATTTGAGTGAACTTGACTTTGTGAGTGTAGGTGCTTTCTAACCTGTAAACTTCTTAAGTTCCTTGGTGCCTTGGTGTCAGTCACGGTGACTCTACAATTCTTGCTAGCTTCACGCTGGCTGTTCCTAAGTAGGAAGTAGCCATGCTCACCCCGGGGGACATCTTTCTCCCGTGTACCAACTTAATTTCTAGGTGACTGCTTCTGTTTGGCAATCGTCCGGGTTTATCACTTGACACTGCTTTCTCTCTAGATGACCTGTCTTCCTCAACCCCTTCTTGGCGTAAAGCTCCCAGGATGGGGGAGTCCCTGGGTGAAGAAATACCACTTAATCACCTAGTTTTACTTTGAAGATAAAGTTGCAAATTCTTTTAGGAATTGTTTTTCAGGTCCTTCATAATTGGTGTGGATTGCATTCCTTTATTTATTACTATAATTCTACATATCTAGAGCATCCACAATTTTAGAAAAATGTGCACATGTTTTATCACAGGGACATGGCACACTTCCTCTCTTCCATGCATTGGGCAGTTAGATCCCTTTTCATGAGTGAAAGTCTCTGTCCCTAGATTAACTGTTGTGAAAAATAGAGCATCTCATGTGTGCTGGTAAAATTCTGGATGATTTTATTCATGTTATGAACAAAGGGAATATATTGAAATGATTCAGAGACACAGACAACAGCATGGTGTTACCGGAAGGAAGGAGGGTGGGGGTTAGTAAAGGATAAAGGAAAGTCAAATATATGGTGACAGGAGATTTGGCTTTGGGTGGTGGGCACATAGTGCAATATACAGATGATTTATCTTAGAATTGTACACTTGACACCTACATAATCATTAAACAATGTTACCCCCCAAAATTTAATTTAAAATAAATAAATAAAATTTAAAAATGCAATATCTGGGAAGCACCATAAAGTGAAGAGTAATTAGAAAACTGTGGTACATCTACACGATGGAATACTATGCTGCTCTAAAAAGGAAGGAACTCTTACCATGTGCAACGGCATGGATGGAACTGGAGAGCATTACGCTAAGTGAAATAAGCCAGTCAATGAAGGAAAAATACCACATGATCTCACTCATTCATGGATAATAGAGACCATCATAAACTTTTGAACAATAATAGATACAGAGGCAGAGCTGCCTCAAACTGCAGCAGGAAGGCCAGGGAGGGTTGGGGGGCAGGAGGTAGGGGGGTAAGAGATCAACCAAAGGACTTGTATGCATGCATATAAGCATAACCAATGGACATAAGACACTGGGGGATAGGGGAGGCTAGGGGACTATCTAAGGTGGGGGAAAAAATGGACACATATGTAATACCCTTTGTAATACTTTAAGCAATAAAAAAAATAAAAAAAAATAAAAATTGTAAGCCACTCAAAAATAAGCATTGTCCTGGCTGGTGGTGCTTAGTTATGAGAATAATAATGCCTTTTCCTATGAGTCATATCGCAAAAGCAAGAAAAAAGTCATAAAAAGAAATATTCCGTGATTAGGAATAGAATAAAATCCCCATAAGACAAACTCCATTATTGAAATGAAATTTGCTTCTGGTTGATATTTTGCGGTGTTCCATCTGTAAAAATAGTGAAATTAATCATTTATCTTTTTGACTTTTTTTATTGACTAGAGAAATTGAGGAATATATATATATAT